AGCCATGATTGAACTGTTGACGTGGCTAAGAGACTCAACTGATTAAGCTCTTTTTGGGGAAGTGCCTCCAGCAGCCGTGCGCAAGGTAAGCAGATTGCACAGCATTGGTACTAATCTTGGATTGTGCTGATGACGATCCCATTCTGAGCTGTTCAGGCGTGCTTAGCGCCAGACACTCCCAGCGGAGCCTCTTCAAAAGTTCTCGTGGAGCAGACTGGCCCGACACTCAGCACGAGTTCTTCTCACTATGAAATAGTAGGTCAACTTGAAGAAGTCATGCCTCAACGAGAGGGCCTCGCAAGTTTTCACCTCCTAGTCCTAGACTGACACTTTGTACAGCCTGGGCTCCAGCTCTACCTCCATCGCTGTGCAAACTGGCCGTGCCAGACACATGAACTCGGCTTGCTGGAGGACATATGTTATGGAAAGATATTTCGTCCAGGTCCTGAGAGAGTGGCAATGACAAGTGCTCAGGAGGCTTTGTATCAGGAGGTGGAGCCTTCGGATCCTAGATGTTGGACGCACCCCGTGGTTCTCCTGCCGGTTATGTCGATGCTCCTCGCCCTGTGTGGCATCATCTTAGCAAGCTCCTGTACGGATGCTTTCTGTAGGTGCTGCGCAGTCCTGCTGTATTCGGTGGCCTTCAGTGGTGTTGCCTTGCTCGGTGTGACCTGGATCTTGGGATGTAAGTCAGAGAAGGTCTATTCACCAAGCTCTGAAGATTCCATCCCGTATGAGACGGACATTCTTCAGCTGAACGGTGGCGGTGAGGTCTTAATGTCCCATGCACCAGGCCGCCGCACCCGGAATTGTTACCGCAGCCTGAGCGCAGATGTGTCACGCTTGAGGCATCACTACGGCGTGGACATCGTGGTGACGCTGCTCTCGTCAACAGAGCTCGCATCAATGAGCTGTCAGAGCATGGGCGCATGTGTTGAAGCTGAAGGAATGGTGTGGATGCACTTCGACCTTCGTGACAAATGGATTCCATGGAACTCTCAGGCATACTTGTCTTGTCTGGTACTTCCCTTGAAGAGGTACCTGCGTTCCGGGAGCCGGGTGCTAGTCCATTGCCATGGGGGGAAGGGAAGAACAGGTACGCTGGTGGCTGCCTTGCTCATGACATCGGCGGGAGGCCACCAAAGTCTGCGAGAAGCGATCGCTTGGATGCGTCGGGTACGTCCTGGCATGCTTCGCAACCCGCTACAGCAGATGTTTCTGCTTCATCTACGAGAATGTCTGCAGCAACTGTGATGGAAGACTGTGTGCGGACACCGTTGGTCGGGACTGGGCTGGGCTTGGACTCATCGAGCAGCATTTGTCCCAGGTGGTGACGCAATGACCACAGCTGGCTGGTGTGCTTGAGGGCAGTGTCGTGGGAGGCGGAAATCGAGGCACCTTAGGCCGCCAGGCCTGCTGGTCCCGGGAGCTTCCAGGCATCTACCACAGGGCAGCATAACCCGAGAAGCTCGCATATGCGATGCGGCTAGAAAATCACTCGAATGCGTTTCTCCCCGCTGGTGAAGTGTGTACACCCTTCCTGAGGTCAGACATATGCCGTCGCCTGCCTCAAGGAGGGAGGGCAGGCGCGTTTCTCTCGTGACTGAAAGTTGTGTTGTCCACCTGGCCCACCTCTGAGTCTCGTCAGGAGTTCTGCGCCCTGGACTTGTTTCTTGATGCCAAAGAGGCGAAGATCGCAGTCAAGGGCAAGGCCTGCTCCGGGTGGCACGTTCTGCTTCTGATACCTCAATCTAGGAGCAGTACGAAGATTACGAAGCTGAGTGTATGCAGTTGTACGCAATCATGCGACTCGGACGCTCTCGGTACGGATCTAGAGTTTCCCGGCTGCGAGGCCACCGTGCACCTAACGGGTTACTTCGAGGCAGATGAGCTCGACGAGGCTCGCTCCCGAATCTTTTGTTGGACAGGGCAGGCGCCGCAGAGACGTCAGAAAAACAAGCTGATTACCGATGTAGTTCGGATGTTCAGAAATGAAGAAGCCCACATGGCTTGCAGGATGACCTTCCTCCTGCAGCACCACAGGCAGTCAACGAAGTCCTGCTTTCTTGCTGACGCGGACACTTATTTGTCGGCATGTTCCACAAAGCCCAGGGTTCGCCAAAGGCGAGGGCAGAGCCCAAGTCTTCGCCCAAGGTGGGCACGGTGAAGTGTCATACGATGTGTGAATCGTCGTGGTGCATGCTCGGCCAGGCGGCACCCAAGAGCTCTCCGAAGGCAGCCCCAAAAGAATCGCCCAAGGAGGCCGCGAAGGCCAAGGCCGCCGCAATGGAGGCAGCGACGACGGATTTGAGTTTCAGGAATAGCGTAAGATGGATTTGGGGCTCCGCGTGGGGACTTTGCGACCTGAAAGCATGGACGATGGCTGAGCAGATTCGTTACGATCAAAGCACGGACCAAGCAGACCATGGACACCTGTACTGTGCCTTGACGGAGCCGGAACAGGACGACGACGATCTCCTGGAAGGGGAGGAGGGTGAAGAGGAGGAGCCCAAGGAGTCCGACAAGGCACGGCCGTGGCATCGGCAGTTGAAGAGATGCGATGCTTCTTTTTCCCTTTGCCAGGTGGTGAAGCCGGCAGCCAAGGCCTCCCCCAAGGCAGAGCCGAAGAAGGCATCGCCCAAGGCGGAGCCGAAGAAGGCTCGCAGCTGGAAGTTTTTTCTGTGCTCCCTTCGTCCCGGCTTTCGGTCAGGCCACTCCTGAAGACGACGAGGCAAGTGAATACCAGCTTGAAAGAGTTAGAGGATGATCTTGTGTTTAGAAGAATCAGTGGTCTGGAGATGCGAAAGCTTTGTACCTCACGGTGTGAGCCTTTGAGTTTTCATTGCTTGTTGTCGCAACAGGATGACGACATGGAGGAGGAGGAGGAAGAAGAGGCAACGCTGTCGCATGATATCATAAGGGAATATCGCGATCAGATGCTGCTGAACCGGAGAAGCTCAAGATACATGAAGTCATTCCCCAGCCAACAGTAGGTCTCCTTCCCCCCCGGTAGTTTTTGCAAGCAAGTGCTTCTAGACAATTTCCGAAGCAGGTGGCACGACATGCTGCAATTTCCGCTTGGAATCGGTTGCTCTGCACAGAAGCTAAGCCAGGGCGCAGAGGACGACCCAGTGGTCAAGCCGCAGGGCTTGGCTCCCAAGACACGGAGTTGCCGCTTCAGACGCCAAAACTCCGCATCTGCTGAGGCAAAGCCGAGGCCAAGGCAAGGCCCGGGATCATGCTAGCTTGGACCGATACCAAGCCGAGCTCTCCTAGGGCGACACGGCTTGGACTGAAGCCAGAAGACTAACCTACTTCAGAAGGCCTATGCAGCTTGTGCAGCCGCAGGCTAAGGCGGCCCCGATGGGTGACGACGATGTGCCTCGGCAGCGCCAGATGGCTCGACCTGACGTTCCGACGAGTCTTTGCATTCAAATCGTCTTCTGCCAGGATGATGACGAGGAGGAGGAGGAAGAAGAGGACATCGACATTTCCTTTTCGACTGCAATTTCAAATCGGCAGTGATTTCACAGGGCGATGACGACGACGATGATGAAGTGGACGAGCCACCTGCGCTGGCCCCGGGCGTCATATAGCTACGGAAGATGATCTTCCCCGTCTAAGCTGGTTCACTGATTATGCAGAAGTCACTACTTCGTCTGGCTCTCCGACGCTTTCAGCATGCGCTGTGTCACCTTGTTCAGTGCCTCACGCACCCGAGGCGAAAAAGTTCAAGGGCGACGGAGGCTTGACTCAAACGAGGTCTGTATACAATTCTTGACACTGTCCTGCTGTGTGAAGGCTGTACCTTCCTGAGTGCCTTTTGGTTTCTTTCGCATATGCGTGGTGCGCACTTGCCATTGCAATTGGCGCAACTTGCATGGCCAAGGAAAGGGCAAGGGAAAGAACAAGGGAAAGGACAAGGGAAAGGACAAGGGAAAGGACAAGGGAAAGGGCAAAGGGAAAGGAAAGGACAAAGGAAAGAAGGGCAAAGGCAAGGGTAAGGTGCGCTTGTGTGATGCAAGTTGTTCACTTTCAGTCGACTCTTCCTGCAACATCCTGAGATGGAGCCTGGCTAGCATGTGCCAGCGTGAACGCAGGGCAAGGGAAAGAGATAATTGGACGGACATGCTTCGAGGCCGTTCAATTGATGGATGTTTTCATTTACTGACATCAACCCTCCCGCGACTCGTGCTCAGGGAAGGCTGCCCACAGTGGCGACACCTGGAGTGAGCCAGATGATACCAGAGGGAGCTTGAACTCGAAAGGCCAAGCAAAGTAAGCTCAGGCAATCGTGCACAGTTCAAACTCGCGCAGATCAGTATTTTCTTGAAACGTTCCCTCGGTTTACGCTGATCTAAACAGGTAAAGGTTGTTCCATGATCAACCTTGATGTTGAATCTGTGTATGGTACACGCATGGAACGTGCGGGAGCAAAGACGCAAACTCCAGTAGATCCATCCCTGAGCTCATCCTTCAGGTTCCATGCCCAAGAATCCGGAATGTTAATTTCCCATTGCACCGTTACGTCCTGGTGCGGCGCTGCACGGATGCACTCACATCCGAAAGTGATTGTTGGTGGTCCCGGTTTCCTAGTCCTTAGCCTTGTCGAGCTAGACGCTCGAAGGTTCGTACACGATGTCAGTGTGTCTGTGGCACTCTGGCAGATGTCAGACTGTCTGGCAGCCATTGCCTCCTCCGACCCAGCGCGAGGGGGAGGGCACACAGCAGGACGGCGCCATTCTAAGACTCCTATTTGCATATAGGAGCAATCAGTTTGCCGATGTAGCGATGGCTCATGCCTTAGGGCTGCCTGAGCCCGCAGAAAAATTTGATTGAGTCGTGGCCAGCAAGAGCAACAAAAGCCTCTTCGCAGGGAGCAGAGGTGAGGGCTTCCAATGTTGCTATCAACCGACAGGGTGCAGAAGTGAAGCCGACTCCCGAAGCTCTGCACCTGTGGCGCTGCAACGCAGAAATCAAAACGTAAGCTTCGAGGTGCTATGGGCAAGAAGCCGGGAAAGAAGGAGGAGAAGCAAACCAGGCGCTGTGCGGTGATCTCCTTGGCCCTATCATGGAAGCAGCACGCGGCCAGGTCGCAGTGGGAGGGGAAGCACCCGGAGCCGAAGTCAAGAGTTGATGAGCGGAAGGTGCTGGCGACAGTGAAGCTGCTTGGCGCGACATGCTGGGCATAATGGATTTGGAATGCCGCACGGTAGCGTAGCGATGCCACAGAAAACCTTGCAAGGCTTGCTGCACCAGCCCGGGGCCTTGGAATGTGGCGTTATGTGGAAAGCTTAAATCTACTCGTACTTCGCATCTGCCACTTAGTCCTATCTGATAGGACCTATGATCTGTTGGTCCGACTGGCGTTTCCCGGACATTCCTCATACTGTAGATGTCGCGACCATCTTTCACCCAGCCGGTGAAATCCTTCCAGTCTTAAACCGAGTGTTTCACACACTGTACAAGGTCTGCAACTTGCTCGAGTTCAAGCTCGACTGCAGCCCTTCCACAAAGATCTCCTTCATAGTTGATCGGATTGTCGACCGCCATGGTTCCTTGGCCTCTTTGGAGCATGTGAGCATCATTGCGGATATTCTGGTTGAACAAAGCTGTTATTTCAACACCGCAGGTGGGTCCATCAGTGACTTGTCGGTGTGCGTAAACCGCTTTCACCCAGAGGAGGTCGTTGGAAGAGTGCGGTACCGAGTGTTCTGGCTCCGACGCCACGAGAATGACAGCTCCCAGACTATGTCCTAAACCAAGGATAAGACACTGGAACAGTGTGGCGTCTTCGGAGGCGAGTGTTTGATATACTACGTTCACGGCTCAGTCTGGGTACCTTTCATTGTTTTAGATGACCTTGTGACCTGTTGCAACTCAGGATTTCAGCGCCAGAGCCGGCGCATTGCTTGCATGAGCGCAGCCTTCGGAGCACGAATGCCTGAGCAGGAGCAACTTGTCGTGTGAAGTGTTCGGTCAGAAGTATGCAGGCTTCACCTTTGCCTTGCGTAGACTACCCTGGCTCCGAATCTCAGAAGTTTCTCTAGCTAGGTAGGCTTCGAAGCACATGTTTCACCCTCCATGAAAAAGCGAATGCGTGTCGCAGACCTACTGCGCCCATACCCGGGTGCATTTCATGCATGGTTGTCCTGAGGACAATAAAGTTCTTCTCTGCCAGCAGATAGTTAGAGCATGTACAGCCCCTGCAACTGCATTGCACACTCGTGAAGAGGAAACGGTGCATCGCTTCCTTGCTGTGTATAGAAAGAGAGAGAGAGAGAGAGAGAGAGAGAGAGAGCGAGCGAGATCCTCATGCGCGAGGGTAGGGGTCTCCCCTGCCTTAGACGCCCAGCAAGCAAGCAAGCAAGAGATCCTCTGGCTGCGTTGAAGAAGATAGAAAGAGAGAGAGAGAGAGAGAGAGAGAGGGGGGCTTGCTCTCCCTTACCCCTAGCCCTGAAAGAAAAGAGAGATAGAGGAGCACTCCCGCAGACCTGACTCGAACACTGGCGTAGCGCTTGCGCGCAGGGGGAGGGGCCTTCACGACCCCCCTCCAAACGCCCAGCAAGCAAGCAAGCAAGCAAGAGAGAGAGAGAGAGAGAGTGAGAGAGACAAAGCAAAGCAAAGAGAGATAGCGAGCCGACCACTCAGTAACACAGGGGGTGGTTGGGCGGGCCAACGGCCCCTAAGCCCAGCAGAAAGAAAGAAGAGAGAGATCTTTTACCGGCATGTCAGAGTTCCGTTCCCCCATAAGGCGCCACAACAGGGGTACATCGGTGCGGGGAGCCTCGACTGCACCCTTAGCCCCGAAGAACAGAACAGAACAGAGAGACTGTGCTCCAGAAGGATCGATCCCTCTCTTCTTGCCCTTGCTTATTGCCGGTGTCCGTGGCTATAATTCCACGTCCTCCCGCCGCCGCAACGGTATCGTCGTCGCCGCGGTCCTGACAATCCTCAGCTCATCTTAACTTCAGCATCCTACGGTTTGTTTTCGTTTGTGCTACTGAAAGAAACGAGAGGTGCTTGATGACGTGCATGAACAGTGGCTTGGGAATACTTTGGGCCGATGTACAATCCCCAAGCAGGTCAAGCCAAATCTGGCAGCATGTCTGCGCGTCCTCAGGCCTCTCTGTATAGAGAGGCTTCTTGAAGACAAGGCCTATGCTAGCTCCCCTGGTTTCTGGCGGTTCCAGCGCTGAAGGCCCAAGGTTACAGGAGCGAAATATCTCTTTGACATTCGCGAAAAATCGCATCTACGCTGAAGCCGCGAGGGCAGGGACAAAGTTGTCGGCGTGTGCTGAATGCGGCTCGAGGTGGAACCAAGCCATTCCTTTTCCGTAGTCTTCGGATCGTTTGCTGGGCATACGTCTGGAGCACATCTGCAAGAATATCTGCCTGTTTTCCAGCCTGTCGTACATTGTCGTACCAAGCTGAGGGGATGCCGACAATCGAGGAGCTGAAGAAGTTTATCGCCTCCCATGAGGCTCCAAACTGATGTTCGGCAACTGTGATCTCGTGTTGGGATCTGTCATGTTGGCGAGAATCAGTGGGCAGAGACATGCGGCTCGAGAAGTCGTTCGTGCCTGTCACCAGGGGATCAGTGTATGTCGATCTAGATTAGTTGAGCGATGCTGTTGTCGCTTCTGAAGGTACTGTCCCTTGCTTCAAAGACGTGGCCGCCAGGTGAAGATCGATGATGCCGAGCAGGAGGCCGCGAACGAGCCGAACCGCAAGAAGAAGAAGGACAACTTATGCACAACTTTAACCAGTCTGGACGATTGCTCATACTGACATGCTTGTGTCAGGACCTGGAAAACGCTCTGAAAAAGCTGCAGAATGACGAAAAGTACCTCAAGGCCTGGCCCTCACTTCAAACCTTATGCCCTGGCTTCCCTATGTAGGCTGTTCATCCTAGAAGCCTGCCTGTTTCTTTTGCATTCCTCACGTCTTGCCTTGCAGTGAATCCGTCCATGCAAAGAGGCAGTCCCCTTGCAGGCTAATCTGTGCACCCTGAACCATCATCCCAAAAAGCCCACGAACACAAAGCCCAATACCGACCCATTCCCAGAAGACACGCCCAGAGCAGCATCTGACTGAGGCGAAGGAGGATGTCAAGGCTGCAGAGGCCCAGGCGCAGCAAACACGAATCCCACTTTTGTAAATTTCCCTTGCGGGGCTTCTCGGCGGCTTTCGACGTGTCATGTTGATGCTTCTAGGCCGAACGAGGGATGTTTCGTGTTTGATTTTCAACACTGCTTCTTCTCAGGGTTGCGATTTGTCTGAACCGCCAGGCCCAGAAAGAAGCGGAGCGAGCTGCTTTGCATCCCAGCTTCGATAGAGATGTCTTTTGATCGCCCTTCTGATTCTGTGGGTTCAGATCCCCGCTCAAAGAGTTCGTGGAAGACAGCAGGATGGCTTGTTCTGTGTGAAAATGCAGTGGTGTTGTGTAATGTCGTCCCAGGAATGGCAAGGCCGCGGACAAAAAGGCTGGAGACAAGGGCGTCGGCTTGAGTTTTTGAGCCAGAGAGCTTACAGCTGAAAGGCAGATACTCGTACTGACGGCGGCTGTGTTGCCTCCTGGTTCCCTACACTCCTTCGTCTTTTTCATGAGGGCGACAAGACGGCCAAGAAGAAGGATGAGCCGAAGGCCGCACCAAAGGCAGACGCCAAAGCGGACGAGGTCCGAATGATCGCACGGATCTCAGTGGATGCTAGGCCTATCGGAAGATGCCTTGCAGGCGACCTTCAAGGACATCGACGAGGCTTTCGCTGCCTCCGGCAAGGATGCCGCCGACAAGAAGGCATTCTCCCTGAGGGAATAACAGCATGCAGATAGTAGTAGGGCTTTCGTAGCCGTGGAGCTGTGACAGCTTGTGCCCTGATGCTGTTGAAAGGCCGTTGCCATCAGCACTCTGGAAGCTTTGTGTGCAGCCACGCCGTTCGTTCTGCCAAGGCTGCTGAAGTCGAATTGAGCCTGAAGTGATGTGAGTTGGCCTTGCACCTGATGTGGATAATGAAATGAGGCTGCCACAGCTCATCCCCCTCTTCGACAACAGCAAGCTGGCAGCACCTGCTGTCAAGGCCCAAGGAGACTGCGAACTAACTAACTAACTAACTAACTAACTAACTAACTAACTAATTAACTCTCTTTCTCTCTCTCCGCCTGAAATACGTGTGTGTGCGTGTGTTCAGGCTTTTTGTGCGCTTCTGGTTCTTTGGGGTTGGTCCCGTTTTCTTCCTGCCTGGGATTGAACTTGTTCTATTGATTACACTCGTGATGCAACATTCCTTCCCAGCTTACCCGCTGGTAGAATGTTGCTGCTGCATTGTCACCTGGAACAGAGTCTGTCCAGTTTTGGGTTCAGACTTCAGCATCGAGCCAGGCAGCCACGGCAATCGTTGAGGCAGTTGCCCCGAAGGGTCATGGCATCGCAGCACGAGGCTCAGCTGTCTGGTGCCAGAGTGGACGATTTTTCAAAGCGGCTGAACGGAGCCTTCGGTCTAAAAGTCCAAGTCGTTCTCGCATGAAAGCTCTCACATGTAAAGGTACAGGGAGACACAGTGTGTCACAGTCGTGCTTCAGTCCCTGCCAGTGCTTCAGTACATTGATGCAGTACTGGGCGTAAGATGTCAATCGGGACAAGTGCAGATCCCAGATCTTCTTGTACAGGTCTGGAGTCTGCCGCATGGGGTCTTCTCAGGATCTGGTCATGCCAACCCTTCTGGCCGGCATCGACGACAAGAAGTGGAAGGTGAAGGTTGGATGCATCCAGGCTGGCTTTCCGAGATCCGGACGATGTGCATGTTGACCTTTCTCTGCTTAGTGAGCTTTGGATGCACCACGGTCTCAGCTCTGTCCAGGTCATGCTTCCAGCACTGAAGCAGATGGAGGATCTCGTCCTCATCAATGTCTCGTGCAATTTCCGGATCTGGTGCTCATGTTCATCCTGCCTGGTCTCTGCCGATTGCACCGAGCAATAGACCGGATCTGCCATCCAGTGCAAGTCGACTTCGACACTGCAGCCTCGCAGGAGGGTGTCACAACGCTGCAGCTCTCCCAGTGGCTGCCCACAATCGTGTCCAAGCTTGCCGAGGCGCCCCAGGATAGGCAAGCGGTCTTGCCAAATATGTCATTCCCATCAGGCCGCCTTGGAAGTCCGCGCGGAGATCCGAACAGCAACAGGCAGCCTCCTTGCAAACTGCACTGTGAGCTTAGGCAAGGCACCCTTGTCTTCCAGGGGCGGTCTTGAAGGAGATCGGCGCTTTTGTTGCCAGCCCGGAGATCAAGGTGCCATCACGAGCACAGTCTGTAAGACGTCGCGCGAGCGAGCTGTGGAAGCTTCTCGGTCTAGTCGTTACCAGACTACTGTCGTGACTGTCGTGAAATGTCGTGACCATCTGTCCGCGATGCTGCACTAGCACAGATCTCTGACTCGTCTGTGAAGATCTGCCTCCTTCCCGAGCACCGGTGATTCTAGATCGAAGGGCTTTTGGTAGCTGAAGAGGATCGGTGGTTGTGCGACCGGCGGAGCGGGACGTCATGTCAAATCTGTGGCATAGCCTCAATGATCCAGACGGTTGCAACTTTCAGTTATCAAAGCACATGTCGTGTTGGGAAGTGTCGGTCTATGATCGCTCGAAAAGCCTATACTTTTCGACGGCACGCGACAATCTGGCCGTACATTTAGTGAAGCCTACCCCTTGTTCGGTTCGACCTCGCGCTGGTTGCATGACATTGAATGACCATGTCACAAGTCATGGGCGCACATTGGCTGACAGCTAGACGGAAAATCGAGAATTAAGTCGTGCAGGCAGTTGAACCCAGAATGTTTGCTGGTGAGCGTGTAGATCACCCTTCCCTATGCTTCGGTGTCTCGCCTTGTTCTGAAGCGTGTTCCGACCAGGCTCTCTCGGCGGATCTGGTCACGGCCCTGGCAGAGCCCACGAATCAAAAGCACACCCAGGCCGGGTCATTGGCTCGGGCAGCCCGCGACTGTCGTGCCAGCGCTACTAGGTTTTTGAGTGCCAGAACTCTACGTCATTCTGTGTGCCAGAACTCTACGTCATTCTGGCTGTTACAGGTGCAGATTTTCGATACCTAGAAAGTGGATGGGGGGCATCATCGCCCTGCAGCCAAACGCTTTGTCTGCTTGTGTCATTAGTGTTGCATGCCTTGTCTGGCAGCTTTACGGACCATTCGGTGGGGTTACTGCTTGACTGCAAGCGAGATGTCCGGGAGATGCTTGCATCCATGCGTTGCTTGCAGGGTGTCCTTGCAAAAATGGGCAACACCACCTTCAAGTCAATGATCGACGAGGCGAGTTGTCGAGAAGCTTCAGAAATCAGGAAGTATTTGCGAGGTGCATGCCCTAGGCCGTAAGTGATTATTCTGGGGCAGGGGGTTACGTTCCAGAATAATAATTGCAGAAGAATATTCTTCGAGCGGATGGGTTTCAAGGAGGGTTTAGGCTTAACCTCCTAAGCCATATCAATCAAGGAGGGCTTTCTTGCTCTCTGCTTCCCTGCGTCGTCTGCTGACAATGCGCGTTTCACAGCAAATCCACGGCTGAGATGGGAAAGTGCCGTGTTGTGGGTCCTCGTGGCCTGTGCCAAGTGATGCTCCGCTTGTACAGACTCTGGCTCTTGGCTCTGCTGGTGCAAAACCTTTGGCTTCAGAGGCGGCGGTTGTGGAGACTGTGATTGTCGCCGTCAGATAATCCAGAGCCCAAACGCCCAAAACCTAGGAAGTCAGAAACTCTGAACAGAAGTCATCAAGCGCAGTCGCCAGAACCAAGTCACACCATGTGTCACACAATTATTCTGAACCTACTCCCACCTCCAGAATAATAACGCTCATCCTCCTGAGAATAATGAATAAATTGTTCTAACACCCCGCCCCCTCATAGGACCCCATTTCGGCCACCGGCATGGTCAGGCATCTCTGGCCTTGCTCTTGCCAATTGTCTTGCGTGGTCTCAAGGCCTCCGTCTGAGCTGACTTCCGATTCGTGAGACTTACGAACAGCATGGTGAACGCACCACCTGTGCATTTCTCCCACAGGCCACCACGCACACATCGCAAGCTTGGAACATGTCAGCTTCTTCTAAAGCACTCCTGTACCCTACGAGCTGTGGCAAGTCTGTGTGCCAGGTTGAAGCCAAAGCTTTGTAAGGACGTAACGCAGCTTCTTGAGTAGGACATTGCCAGGACAGAGAAGCCACAAGCAAGAAGTGGTCTGCACAGATTTTCGGATCTGCAACACTTCTCGTCCGGTACTAAGAGCTTTCACTTGGAGTGCCCTTCCACCGGGGGACACGGTGGTGTGAAGTGTGGCAGTGGTTCGTCAGCATGTACTCGCATGTGCATGCAGGAATGTAGCACTAAGACTACGGGCCGAGACCATCTGCCCTCAATGCCTGCGCTCTTTCAGGTGCGTGATGTTGATTTCCTCAAGCATCTAGGCAGCAACGCGAGTGGGCTCTGGATTTACTTCTGCCAACCTCTGCTTTGCCATAGCTTTCCTCATGCATGGAGCATCAGCTGGTCAGCCGATGGAGACTCGGAATGCTGAGGCCTTACCTCAAGCCTGCGTTTTCCCTTCTCCAGGCATCTTGCCCGACTTCAGTTCCCAGGAAACGTAGGTATCGAAGGTTTGGGAGGTTTGGTGGGATCCCTGAGTGTCGCAGCAGCCGGAAGGTGAACCTGTCGCGGCTAAAGTCCGTATCCGAAGTGTCGAGGCTGCTCTGAACGACTCCGTCCCAGAGGTGCGGCGAGAGGCTGCCAAGGTCCGTGCTGGAGCATCAGGGCCTTTTATGTCTTCAGCTGTGTCGTTTATGGTCCGAACACGGCCGTGCTATGCCGTGCCGCTTGATTCTGCAGGCATTCGGCATTTTGGAGCAGGTGCTCCCGGAATGGTCTCGCACTGTTTGCCAGCCAGCGCCTCAGCGCTGTGAGGCACCACGAGGGCAGGGGCCAAGGGGTGGCGAGAAGAATGTGGTGACGGCGTATTGACACCTGAGGTGTTGCAGATGCTGCTAGTGACCATGCAAATTGTATGTATTTGTAAGTTATCATGAGATGATGAGAAAGGTGCAGGCTTACGCCGACTAGATGGACGGGAGTGGTTGTATCACTGAGCCGAAGACTTCAAGGAAAAAGGGCATTCGATTAGTATCTAGCCTAGGGCCTAGCAGCTCTCTGGCGAGTGAAAGAAGGCCCTACCTCTTCGGCAAGCTGCGCGCCGGCGATGCCTCCGAGCAGATCGGGGCATCCCTGGGCCTGGCCGAGGTCTTCGTCCGCATGGAGAAGGCAGGGGATGGCAGGGGTCAGGGGTATAAGGGGTAGGAGAATGTCTTTTAAGCACATTGGGCCCCCAACTGTCGAAAGAAGGACCATGCATCCTAACAGAAATGGCAGCCACTGCGAAGAGTTGAGGCCAAACTCTCGCAGCTCCTTCCGGAGGTGCAGAAGGCTCGTCCAGCGCTTGAAGGGAGCGTCCTCCCGAGCGGGTGAACTTGACCTCAGGGCGCCAACGACGAGAAGTTGGCTGTGCGACGAGGGTTCCTGGAGCTCATGGACACAATGCCGCAGGTGGGAGCCGCAGCCGAGCAGAAACTTCTTTCTCTCATTCTCTTTCCTTTTCACACAGGCCATGAAGATGGACTTCGTTCCTTTCATTGAGCGCTTGTTCCCTGCTATGCTCTTGGGCGTCACTGGTGAGAAGGACTGTGACGGTGCATTGCTTAGCATCTTGCAGTGCGCGAGCGCAAACAGAGGGAATTGTAAAGGACATCACCGATGATCCGGCCCTCAAGGCATTGGCATTCCGCTTTCGTCAAGGCAAAAAAGGGGTGTTTGGGGGTCTGATGTCAAGGCCGCCCAGGCCCTTGTGGGCCGCTTCGGCGATCTGCGGGCTGCTCGGATCGGGGGGGGGGTTGAGCGTGCCGGGACGGGAATGACGGGAGGGTCCCTGTGTTGCCCGTCTCAGGTGCCCGGAGCTGCTGATCTCCGCCTTCGAGGCTCGGCCTGGGTGAGCTTTCAGCGGCGCCGTGTGTGCACTTGGCTCTGGGGCCCCTCCTGTGCGGAACAGGGCGCGTACGCCGCGGCCCTGGGGCTGGAGCCTCAGAGGGCAAGTTCCCAAGAGCCCCCGGGCCAAGTGTTCCTTCTCTGGCGACAGGTCAGGCGATTGGAAGAAGTTCCAGATTGTGCGCGAGAAGTCTATGCAGCTCCTTCTGAAGACTGCGGAGAAGATCCTGGAGCACAAGAAGCAGCCAAGCAAGATATGCACCCCTTGGAGCGGTTCGAAGAAGTTGAAGTTCTTCATACTCAGGTTCGGCCAAGACCTGTTGACCTGTGACGAGTGCTCATCGAAGGATGCGGGAAGCTCTTCAAAGTCTTTACTAGCGGTACTAGTGCTTAGTGCTGCTGGTGTTGTTGTGGAGATGATGACAGCAAGCCGTGTCGCATGTGCCTTTGTAGCTTCGGGCTTCGATGCTCCGTGCGCGGCAGGAGATCCGACTCCGCATCCTGATCCTCGCCTTCGTGGCCCGCAACGATCCGGATGCTGCGGTGAAGCGTGTTGCCAGCAACGTCTGGTGTTGCCCTCAGTGAGTTCGTTCTCGAAAGGGAAAGGTAGCTCGTGTCTGCTTGACTAGTTGATTGGGCTTGTAGCCGCGGCGGAAATACTTGCAGCCTGTTCTCGGTTTGGCACTACCCAAACCGGTTTCTATCAGTTGACGCGCAAATGGAGGGTTGCCCTTGATCGCGTCAGCCTGGCAGCTGTTCATAAGTTGCCTCGCGTGGCATGGCCTCATGCCCCGACCGTGTGCATTCTGCTGTGCTCGTATCGCCTAGGAAGACCTCCGGCGGCTCACCCAAGATGCAGTGCCCTGGACTATGGTGAGATATGGCCAGTCAAGACCAGCTCAAACAGTGGGATGCACGAATTGGCCGAGACAGCTTACCAAGGAAGACTATCGCCCAAGAGCTGAGTGACACCATTGCAAAGTGGCGTTCAGGCATCCTTATCCAGCTTTCCGGCTTTGCGCTTAGGGCTCCAACGGTTTGACCTGCAGGTGCCATGGGTGCCGGGCTGCAGAAGGTTGCAAAGGAAGCGCTTGCCGAGATGGTCAAGGTGCCCGGACACCATGTGCGCATGCGTCTCTCTGTGGAAGAGGCATGAAGTGAGGGCTCTGGGCCCTGAACAGGCCGGCGATGCCGAGCAGCCTGCGGAGGAGCCTGAGGCGGCAAACTGCACAGTGTAGGTTTTCTGAAGTGGCCCACGAAGCCCATGTTGCAACGGGAGGCTGTCAAGACTGACTTCGCTTTCGAGCCCGCGAAGACCTCGAACGAGGGAGCCGCTCGCATCGCTGCAGGCCTGCGGATCAGTATCCTGGGATGCGTACCTTGAGCAGAGTTTGATTGAAGTAAATTTAGACGGGCCTCGATGCAGTGGGCCCTTTTGGACATTGCACCGTGAAGCATGTGACATTATGGGCACCAGCGAGTGCCAGTCCTCCTCCTGCTCCTCGGCCAGGCGAGTCTCCCAACAGTCAAGAGGAAGGTGATGTCGCAACGAAAGAGGCGACTTGGATCGACCTGACACAATCTGGGCGGTTGAAAGGTGGCAGTTCATCAAAGCTAAGGATTGCCAGATGGTGAAAGCGGTCAATGGTTTCTTCGAGAAGAAGACTGAGTTTGGTTCCCTGCCAGGTGCCGCATGTTGCAACTATGTTGCATCTTGCTGGCCGATCCGAAGTGCGGAGTCTTTGCCAGGAGACCTCCAGAAATTCCTCTTGGCCGTTTCTGCAAGTGTCATCCGCGAGGGCCACAAGAAGAAGCTCTGCTACAATTTTCGGAAGTATTGTCTTGCCCAAGTGTGGCTTACTCACCCTTTCTTTGGACTTAAGACATTTTGGCCGGCCACCCATGCTTTCTAGCTACCAAGGAAGATGCCGGGACCCAAGGTCGTGGAGGACTGACATGGCAAACATGCTGGACTTCTTTGCTTTAGCTGTCGCTGTGATTTCGGGGCAGGAGCTTCAACTGGCCCTCCAGCAAGCTTGCGGCTGCTGCAAGGAACAGGCAGATTAGAAGGGAGCTTATGATCCTTCTTGTGCAATGACGCACGCTTCAAGTCTATGAAGGCCGAAGGCTTCCTCAAGACGTTGCCAGAGTCGTCGGAGGCGACGCGTTGTTTGCAAAGCACTTCTCAAAGCTCCAGAAAGGATACTGTTACCTTGCAGGTCGGGTAAAGGTAGCACCTCACACTCTGTTGTCTCTCATGGCTGTGTCATACGAGAGGCCAGCCAAGCAAGCTAGGCTGCGTCTCCTCAGCTGAAAGGATGATTGAAATGGATGCAGCAAGCAATGCAATAAAGCATCCCTCCTCCTCCTCCTCCTGCTCCTACCACACCACCGCCACTACCACTGCCACTGGCACTACGCTACGACCGGCACCGCCATCATCAAAGCACGTTTTCGGCCCGACGCGTGCCCTGGAGATGCTGTGAGTTTGCAGAGATCAACACTCGAAGTCGCAGTATTCTCGGGTTAGCGCAGCAGCATGCAGCAGCCCACGGAAACCGCAGTTACTGATCCACCTTAATGCTTGGCCGGTCAGCTTTTGCTCGCTGGTCTTGCTTAGTCCTGTGTCGAGCTGTCGTAGGAAGCACCAGCTCCAACTCCTAAGCATGTCAAGCGCATCGTAGACGTGGGAAACCGCGGACAGGCTGTGGCGCGTGAGGCCCTCGGCGCGGACTTCGATGCATTGGCGGGTGCGAGATCCCGGAGTCCTTGGGTGGTCACGGGTGAAGGGCTTGAGGGCAACGGAAGTGTATGCCGACATGTTACCGTTTAAGCGACGAAATCAGCATTGCGAGAGACCTAGATCAGAGACCACTGCCGAGGGTCACTGGTTTGATGGCAGGCGAGGGCTATGATGCCGATACCCTGTTGCGCGTCGAGAACATGTTGCTGAAGCTCGCCTGCAGAGTGATAGTCAGGGGCCATGGGAACACTTCTTTGGGGTTCTGGAGTCTTGTTCGGCGGTGCTGATGGACAGGGCTACTGGTTCTTGTTTCAAAGCTTCATCACTTTCCACACCAAAGCACCCCAGGGTCAGTCAATGCAGTTTCAGATTGTCCAAGACTCGGCAGAAGACTGTTCGTTGCCATCCGAGGATGTACGGAGCGGGCAAGCTCCTTCTGAAGGAGTTTTTCTACTTCGTACCTTCCCTTCCTTTCCCTTCATCCATTTAGCTGCAGGGTGGCCGGCATGACGCCGATAAGATTTGTCGTAAGCCACCCGCAGGACACGCTCCTCGAACTGAAAGCCAATCGTCGCTACGGTGTCGTTGGTCACAACGGTGCCTTCACTGCATGTGACTGCATGCCTTGCCTTACTTCGGGCATCTTCTTTGAAGAGCGGTGCTGAGTGCTGAACGTGTCTGCCTGCTTGCATGGAAAGATGTCTTATGGACAATTATGTTGTGCAGGAGCAGGCAAAACGACATTGATGAAAGAGATCGTCCATGGCCGCATTGTGGGCATGCCGACTCATCTTCGCTGCGTTCACGTCGACGATTCCAAGCTGGGTGCGCATCCGCATAAGCCAGTGTTTCATGCTGGTCTGCACGTGTCGGTGGCCGTCAGTGCCTCGCGCTGGCAGGAGAGATGAGCAAAAGCAGCTTGAACGCCTTGGAGTACGCCTTGTGTCTGCAAGTTATTGGAGTTTCTTCAGGACAGTATCGATGCAGTGGTTCCCGTGCTTGTGTCTCAATTGCCATTGCAAGGTGAAAATGAAGGCCATGGAGATTGGCGTCACGGATGCCAGCGCAGACAACCTCCGAAGAGTTGGCTTTCCAGAGAAGATGTCCGGCTCTGACGATCTGTCGTCGTAGGAAGTAGTGACTTTCTGCGACTGACCTGGCGCATGACGCGTTGTCGCACGTGATCAGGTTTGAGGTGCCAGTGGCCGAGCTTTCCACAGGATGGCGCATGCGGCTGACCCTGGCCGTGTCGGGGTCCGAGAGCGAGGGCAGATGGAAAAGGGGGGTGAAGTCTGCTCTGCGGCTCCCGCAGGTCCATGCTGAAGCACGCAGACATTGTCCTGCTGGATGAGCCCACGAACCACTTGGATCAGGCCCTGGCTCAGATCCTACTGCCTCGAGTCTCGATCTTTCGTAAGCCAGGAATCTGTGGACTGGCTTGGAGACTACCTCCTTACTCTGACGAAGTCCTCCGTTATGGCTCCTTGTTCGATTCCTTTCACTCTGCAGGTCGGGTTCAGGGAACCACATGTTGAGCCAGGTCATTTCCCACGAGCCCAAGTTCCTCAACAAGATCTGCACCGACATTATCTCCTACAAGGCCCCTTCGATGCCCCCCCCTCCCAGAGATAGCAAAACATCCTTGGCCTGGAGCCTCAGATGCCTCGCCGCACAGGACAAGTCGCTGGTTTATACGGCATGCCGGGCTGCAAGAAGGCACAAAAGAGAGGTAATCTCCAGCATCAAGGAATCGGTAAAGGGAACGTTCTGCCGTCCCAGAGCCCACTGTGCCTCAAGCACAGGTAGACCATCGACATAGTGCGCAATCGCGCACCCTGCCACTTGTAGATCAGCCGAGGCAGGAAACTTCGATGCTTTCGTCATGGCCAAGGGCATCAAGGCTGACGACATCGAAGCGCTGCTTTCCGGCAACTTGAAGCTCGACGAGGCCTCGACTACATCGCCATGAAGTTTCGCAGTCTTTGGTCGTTCGGATCTGTTGTCTGCAGTCTGCCGAAACCGCGAAATGCCGTGAACATGTCCCCACCTTGAAGGACGAAGAGGGCGAAGAGGGCGGTGACGACAAGAAGGCGGCCATCGTTCAAGCTCCCATTGCCGGTCCGCCCAAGCAACTTGGTCGAACGGCTCGTGTGCAGTGCAAAGCATCCCAGAATGCCACGATGCCTGCCGCGTTTGCAGTTGAGGATTGCGTTCCCGATCCCTGGTTCCGTGGAGGGAGTGAAGTCGAGCTCGAAGGCACGGCTGAGCATGGCCAAACCACAGGAAGACCATGTCCCCGAGCCCCGAAAGCCCGTAGCTGTGAATCCACTGGAGGCCGTGATTGAGTTCAAGAACCTGTCCTTCCGCTACGGCAAGGCTGGGCGGCTCAGGGTTCTCGTGCCACGTCGGGAGCACTGCGTCGGACCTTCGGCTCAATTCGAAGGACAAGGACTACCTGATCAACGATGTGGCCGGCAAGCTGTCTTTGGGCTCTCGCGTTGCCATCTGTGGACGAAACGGCTGCTCTGCTCTTCTGCGTAGTGTTGACTTCGTGTTCGGTCGAGAGTCTTGAGAGTTGAGAGGGTGCTGTTGGACTGCTCTGTAAATGGCTCAGGAGGACTGTCGGAAGAGAGTCATGATTGAAACGGCGGTCATGATATAAGGTTGCGGAAAGTCCACCCTCATGACGTTGATTTGTTCAGAGATGAATGCCACGGAGGGCAAGGACCGCCGTGCCGGCGCACTGCAGTTTGTACAATAGATGCGAATCAAGTTGCCCCGTACCGTAGCCGGGCCAGCGGCCTTCCGCAGGACGGTAAGCTTGGCGACGTGACTCGCCACTGCAACTTGCGAGTGGCCTACATGAAGCAGGTGCTTCTGGGGCCGTCTCTAGTGAACACTGACACCACTGGGTGCGTCTTGTATGTCTTGTCAGGACCACCTCAAGACCCTCGGACCATACTTCGACGCTTTCTTGCAAATATGAACTAGCGTTGGACATGGAGATCACAGCTGAACCTTTCGTTCAAGTCGCTGGGCCGTGAGTATGCTGTGCTTTGCGATGATTAAGCTGTTCAGGACACATCTCCCTTGAACTACATCACCCAGCGGTTCAAGAATGGCTACGACGAGGCGTGTGGATTAGAGAGAGCCGAGTAAGGTTTCGGATAGGGAAACAGAGCTGCCTTTGCCAACACCTCTTGCTTGTCGCTACTTGTTTTCTCCCTTATCAGGAGCTGCAGAAGCGCCTCATCGAGCCCGAGGATGACGAAGAGGCGGCTCGACGGGCCACCCTCGCCAAGCAGTCGCCCGGCAGCCGTGCAAGCACTTACAAATCGCCTGTCGGCACATGGCACCTAAGGCATGGAAAGTACGGGAACCAGGTGGGGGAGCTGCTGAGTCGAAGCAAGCAGGGCAGCCAGCTCTACTACGAGGCACAGCTTGACAGTTTTACGTTCCGGCCGATGGTCGTTCAGAAGCTACTGGTAGGTTTCTGTCTTTGTGTGTCGCAAGCCACGATTCTGAAGCTGGCAGGTCAAGTGGGAGGGCCTGGATGACCCAAAGCAGACACTTGATTTTGGAACAATGTGCGAGCGAAGAGATGTGCCAGTACAGCCAGTGCAGCCTGGACGGGGCCGGTTGTGCCAAGGAACACCATGGTGTCCCTGAAGACTTTGAGGGACATGGGCAGCTCCAGCAGCACTGATTCTGTGTTTTGGATTGTTGTTGTGTTCTCCATTTTGCGGGTTACTTCGCAAAGCAAGGCTGCACATGATTTGTATCTCTTTTTGCATCACAGGTCTGGACAAGGTCGTCATCGCCTGCGACGAACGAATCGCCGCCAAGGTTGGTTTTGCTACAGCGTGTCTGTGTCGCAGTGCGTTTTCACGTCAGGCTGCCGGATTGGACCAGAGGCCACTGACTCGAAGCGGCCCAGCCTGAACAAACACCGAAGAAAGATTCTTCAACCTACGAAAGATTGGGGTAGCCGACGTCTTGCCACCAAGGAGAAATCGCCAAACACTGCGAGGCTTTCGGCATTGACGAGGACTGGCCGTCCTTTTGTTTGATCGGTTTTCATTTCAACTCATTGTGTTTTTTGGCATGGGCTCTGTGGGCAAGCAGTCCAAGATGGCTCCTGCTTGGAGTTTTCGGGAACATCCAGTTGCTCCGCAGTGCGCCTGCTTTCCAGGAGATGTGCTGCAACCAGCAGATTCGAGGATTCTCCGCTGGCCAGAAGGCCTTGAGAAACCGGAATTCTAGATGATTGTTGATGAGTATTCAGGGCCGGAGAGTCTGCATGCAATCTGCATCGGCACTGTGGGGTCCTTTCTTCTCTGCCTACGAGTGCCCACATCCATTCGGCAATCCCTGCTTCTGCGAAACGACCATCGCTCCATCAACGTCAAGTCTCAGGTGCGCCTGTCGTTGGCTGCCATGTCTCTTGGCAGCATTGTGTGTGGGGTCATATGGGGTCTATTGGGGTGTGCGAGCGTGGTTAATCGGCGTATGAGCAGCGTGCCGCCACAAAAGAGTCCTCACAACTTCAGGTTCTGGACAAAGCCCCATTTCATTGCCGTGGACGAGCCTACGAATTACTTGGACGTCGAGACGGTCGAAGCTCTGGCGAAGGCCTTGCAGAAAGTGTCTCGGGTAAGTCCACATGTGGCAGACGCAGGTCACAGGCACAGGGGGTACCTGTAACTGTTTTGAGTGGTTCGTAAGCTCCAGCTTGGCAGGCCTTGAACAGCTTCAGAGGAGGTGGCCGCGCTTGTCAGGGCATGTAGGGCAGGTGAACCGATTTTGGACTTAAGCGTGGCATCAGGCATCCTGATGATTGAGCCCAAGATGGACTTCGTCGAGAAGGTTTGCAATGAGACCTGGACCCTGGAAGACGGCAAGCTGAAGGTGGAGAGGCTCAGGCTGCAATTAGAGCTGTCCTATCGAGTCGGCGCATACTCAGCACAGTTTGGACGACGAGGAAGCTTGACAACGGGCTGAAGCGTGTGGCGTGAGACTCCAGCTTGGCCTGGGCTTCAGAAAACGATGCAAGTGCAAGGTGCGTCTGCACCTGTTCATGCAACTCAGGCTCTCATGCCCAGTTAACGTCAAGGCAAGGATGAGGGTTCGTGCAGGGCAGCATGATCCCCGACAGCAATGACGATCGGTCCACGTCATGCTGAGCCCTTCCTCGACAGGCTAGCGGCTGGATATGCCCCTGCCAAATACGAATGGCTTGGCAACACACTTTTCCCAAAAGTGCCATAATGACTTGTGACAGGTTACTGCAACCGACTGTCGCCTATTATCGAAAGCTTGTGTCGGAATGCGACGGGGCTAGGTCTGCAAAATAGAATTCGACCTTCATCAGCACGTTCAACCCTTGGGCACTGAAGACTGTGCAGCAGTCTTTGTAGACCGTAAACAGCATTGCAGCGGGCTGCAGGCCAAGGTAGCAGTAATCTGTATTGTTTTCCCCGGTGCATCTTTGCATCTCTTGCCTGTACAGCACCAATTCTGCCTCACCCAAAACATCCCGCGGGAGCGTGCCTCCAGAAGCCGGGATAGAGCAGCCCATTCGGCTGACATGCGTGCCTTCACCTAGGATCAGAGAGGACCTCCAGATCTGGGCCGGGTGTTCTCGATGTTAATGGAATGTTGACGGAACAGTAGGCTTAGTCCGATCGAGTGGTGACGTGAGCTTGCTATCCTGCAAAGAAGAACTGAATGTTCCTGAACCGATCTAATTGTCTTGGGACCGTCAGTTCAGGCTGAGCGAGGGGAATGGGAGGCAGCACAGTATGGCGGGGAGCGAATGTTCTGTTGTGCAAAGCTGGAGTTCGTCTCCATGATTCCTGCTTTAAACCCGCCTCTGTGCTTCGAATCCGTCTGCTTGTGGCAGACACTGGGCAATTTTTGCACGTGGCGGTCAAATGTGCCGCCCTGATTTCTTGACAGAGTCTTGCATCTGACAGATGTCAGGGCAAGACTCGACATGTTTGGACTTGTGCATTTTCCTGTCATGATCTCCTGTTTCGTAGAGCCCTCCCGCTCGATGTTGACACGGGCATATGGCATATATGGCATAGGTTCAGGATATGGCGAAGCTCCGCTTTAGTAGTTTTGTCTTTGTGACTCTCCTTGTCCATCGTTCTCCATCGAAACTTGAGCCATGCGGGTGGGAGCCGTACTGACCGGAGCGAGACGAACTTCGCTTCGGTGCCTCGGCAGACGAGTACTTGGTCTTTCTGGGAGTAGGTCAGCAAGCCGCGTAGCAGTAGCGAAGCACAAGGAAGAGAAGGAGGAATCTTCGTCGTAGGACACAGTAGGATCAGCAAGGCATTCGGCTTTCCAGAGGACCTTTTATGATCTCGTTTCTAGGAGCTGATGCTGCTCCGCATTTTTCTTTCTAAGGCCGCCGGCCAGGGCAACAGGCACGAGACATGCAGTGTCACTGTGTGTTACTCTGATGCTTCCACGTTGCGTGGAGCTTGGTTGATGAGTTGTGGGTCCCATCAAGACTGCGAAGGGCACTACCACGGTGCCGCGGAGCTCAAACTCTGGCCTCATGCTCGAGCCTCGGTCTCGGGGTCACTTGCCTCGGTCCTCCCTGGCTTGGTGCCTCGAGGCCTTGGAGCAGGAGGCTGCTGGGCACGGCATAGTGCCTTGACGCAAACGGTTGCTTGCTTCGTATGGTAGGCTCTGTAGGGAGTCCATCGTCCCTATCGTTAGCAGGCTCCCGATCTCTTGAAGAGGTAGTGACCGACGGCGCCTTCTTGCAAACATCCCCAGGTGTTTGGTGCCAGGAGGCCGACCTGAGGAATTCTCAGCGATGCGCAGCAACCCGGCTGCTTCGGAGGGGTGTCGTTACGGAACAGCACAGCAGAAGTTGGCGCAATTAGACTCCAACATGGCATGCGTTTGAAGGCATTTAGGCTCAGCAGGAGTCCCGTTTCAACTCCACTTCTGGCTTCCTTTTTTGCGATCCTTGGGGCCCCAGAATAAGTTCTGCGATGACAACCGCCTGCTGCGCGAGGACGTACAGCAGGTGTTCACACGGCAGGTGATGACGCAGCTTTGCCACCAGGCATTGTAGCGACCTTCTATGGTGTCAAAGAAGTTATGTATCACTTCCGCATCCGCATCGTCTACCGCGAAGGAGAAGCTGTAGAAGCGAAAGATTTAACAGAGTGAAAAGGGGAGGCCGAGCAGGAGGAGCACATGAAGGAACTGAAGGGCTCAGGAGCTTTATAAAAAAGGGGAAGCACCCAAAAGAGCATCCGCCGATGTCAAAACAGACGAGGGCACCACGACAGTGCGGCCGGTGCTCCTGGCCACACTGTAGGTGGTGGCTTCACCGTTGTGGTCGACAGCCTTTGTACCTCATGGGCTCCCTTCCATACAGCTCTCCCCCTGGCTGACACCCGAGTTTGCCCCAATTTGCTGTGGGCCCCACAGTACCTCTTCAACAGGTGCGCATGTGATCTTATCACGTACTGGCAGAAGCAGCTGAAGACCAGACCAAGAGTGGCCGTGTCGAGAGCCTTATGTCATCATCGGGTACGTCTACTTCCTGTGCTCCTGTCAACTTGGCACACATACCGAGAATTTGCAAGCGCCAATACACACCACACACCGGGTTCGCCAAAGAAAGGAACTAGGTATAACCAGGTCCTCTCATGTACCCTGACCAATTGTAAAATGGCGGGAAGGCTATGTCCACTCGCTGATCAGAAAAGTACAGCGCAGACTTAGACTTCATGTTTTTTGCGAGGCTCCGAGAACTGCACCGAGAGGAGTTCGTTCTTGTTGCAGCTTTTGGCAGCCATGTCCGAGGATGTGATACAGGTGCACATCCTCCGACATGGCGAAGGGACCACAACACACATCCGTCCGTGATCTTTACTAAGAAAGAGGATTGATCATGCGGTCCGCGATGGCCCTGTACATGCACACCCCGGGCAGCCGTCAAGATGGCCTGCGAGTTTTGAGGAATTAAGGTGTTGCCATGCCGAAAAGAAGGGATTCTGTCTAGAGTTATCCTGTGCATATGTGGTGTAGGGACATGTCGTGGTTTGCAGGGTGTGGTGCAGGGGTATTGCGTGTCTGCGAGCATGCAGTGTAGGGATGAGCTTGTACTACACAGCTTGCACACTTAACGATCTGCCCACCCCCGACGCTTCCAATGTCCATTCACGGATCCCGTCAGGTTTCTCTGCCAAAACTGGCGACACACGCGACCAGCGTGTGCAATCGAATTTAGCCTTTCAGCCGGCTTTTCAGCCAGCTCTTGCACCCGTTGCGATGAAGCTCAGTGCTTTCCCGAAGGGTATAGGCTCTCAAATCGACTCTTCTTGCTTGTGGGGGAAAAAGTCTATGTTTCTGGTCCTGAATACTTATTGTGCAAGAGATCTGCATGTTCAGCGAGAGTGGTGCATTTCCGCAGCTGTGCTTGTGGTCTCTCATAGGCCCTGGTGACTCTAGTTGTCGAAAGCGTTGAGATGAAGCTTGTGCTTCTACTCCCCCTGGCAGCGAGCCTGGGGGCCGTGCTTGACGGGGAAGACCCGCTGGCAGCGGCTGTGGATGACGTCGCTTGGCGAGCATGAGCATGTAGGGAAGCATTGAGTTGATTTGTGGTGTCGAGCTGCAAGCATCCGGCCATTTTCCGGCACGGTGGCTCCTTCTCCATCCTTTGTTTTACAAGGCTTCGGACGCTGCGAACACATACCTTTTTCGCGAATTCGCCGCCATAGGTCACAGAATGTCACAGATAGCTGCACAGATGACACGACGCGAAGCTTGACGCCGAACTGCCTCGGCTTAAAAATTGGACCGTAGGCTGCCAGCCGGCTCTTAACCGTTTCTGCTCCCCAGAACGAAGTGTAAAACCAGGGCAGTTGACGCATTCGGCCATCTTCCGTGGTTTTGTTGCATTGGGGCATGTGCTCTCAGCAACTGTTGCTACGTCGAAGGAATGCGCCGCAGACATGCCATGTGCGTTGCAGGCTCGATCGGTCCGTCCCAAATCTGAAGTCAGCTTGAGACTTAATCGTCGTGAAAACCCCGCAAGGCCACCCAACTGCGTGCACAGCGATCCCAGTCCGAGGTGGGCGATTGCTTTCGCACGGGCTAGTTTAATCCCCTTTGCTTGTTGCTCTCGCTGACTTCTTACCTGCGTTTGCTTCCCCGCCGGAGATTGAAAACATCCAGGAACTTGACGGAGATGCCGCCAACACATCGGGTGGTCAGAGTGCAAATGTCAGCGATGAGACGGCTTCAGATCTAGACGAAGTTCAGGTGGGACAGGAGTAGCCTGCATCTGCGTCAGTTGCAAAGGTTGTCTTGGTGAGTTAGCAGGAAGTCCATCTTGGATCCATCGCAGACGGTCCGGAGGCGAGCTATACGAAAGAGCCTTCAGCCGCAGTTGAGGCCAAATCTTGCAGTTCCTGTGTCACGATGTCTCAAGTGGGTTGTCTGCGTCGCATTCACACAGCAACTGTTGTGCTTCTGCAGCTTTGAGGAAGAGTTGATGGCCTTGATGGCCCTCAGCCGCAGGGACAAGCACCAACGCACCAATGGCACTGACCAGTGGGGAAGCTCCGGGCCGACGCAGTCCTTTTCTTACACCAAGCAATGCTACAGCAGCTCAGCTGCACGTATCAGGTCTGCTTCAACGGAAATGAGCGTTGCCGGAAACCTCAAGCTCAGAGTGATAAACTCAATGAGCAGAAGTGTATCGTTCTGAGTGCGAACACCCCAGGTTTCACTGGCGGCGTTTGCACGAGCAAAATCTGCGATTACAATCGGCTGTCTCAGTGCGTCGCGGGAAAGTGCGCCGGCAGCTGAGCAGATTCAGATTTCGAGCAGCTTGACAAGCCTTGGAAGGCATGCGCTGAACCCCGTGTGACCGTGACCCGGCGTGAGGTGTGCCCGGGTGGCTGTGCTGGGGCAGACGGCAGGCTTGGATCCAGCTTCTGGTGTTTACAGCTAAGTCGTGCTACAGGGGCTGTGATGTGTGGAAAGGTGTTATAATGCCGGCAACATTCTCGTCGCCAGTGGCTTCACAATGAAAAATGCAACTGACATGCAAAGTAGTCGTGGTGGATTGACGGACCAGCTAAGCAAAGGCACATGTTGCTTCGGATTTCTTTCATCTGTGAAGATCTCCGAGCAGTTCAACAAGAACTTCCAGAAGGAAATATGCTGCCTGTCAGGTGAAGTGGCCGAAGTACAGGATGTATTTCAAGCGTGACCTGGTGGAGACTTTCAAAGGGGAGTCGATTTCTGCTTCAGAACTGCCAGGCGGAGGAATGTGGGATTTTGGGCAGGCTTCTAGATAGAGTCTAGAGAGCTAACACTCAACCTACAGTAGTCGGAAGTAAGGAGTGAGCGCCTTCAACCAGATGGGCACATCCAGTATGCCGAGCTTCAGCTTCATGGGCTCGGACCGCTTCGACCTCTACCGGGTCCCAGGCCGTTTTTTTTCGACAGGATTCTGTGAGGTGCCTAGGGTGGGATGCTTGGGGTGCTGCGCTTCAGGGGAGGCTTGCGTTTTCACGATTGGAGCTCCGCCGTTTCAGTAGAGTTTGAACGAAGTCAGGCCTTGTTTCTACGGCTCGAAACTGTGGTTGCAACATTTTGCCTTTGTCGCTGCTGCATTTCTTGACGGAGAGGATTGAGAGACATGTATGCCATCCAGGCAAAAGGCTGACAGAGGAAGGTCGTGCATTTACACTGCTGCTGCTCCCGCAAGGCCTTTTCAAGGGGAGGGCCCTGTACTTCCTCGCTTCGCACAAGTGGCCTGAGTACGTGCTAGTGCCTCGGCAACACGGCCGCCGGATACAGTAGATGATATGACTGACCATGTGCATGTCCTTATACGCATAACAAGGTCACCGTTCCACTGAACAGCAGTAGCTCGCCTACATCGAGTTGTTGTCTGTATCACTGAGGCCATTCGAGCCACAGTTGGAACTGCATTCAGCCCATTTGGCACGTACACCGTCAAGTTGAAGGACTTGCCATGCCACTTCTGACTGCCTCTCGATGCCAGTAGTCCGCAAAGGGGAACTCTCGGGCACGCCCTGAGGACTCGTCTGCGCCATGGAAGCCGGAGACTCGCCTTACAGGTCAACTCGTAATGCCAGCATTGCGTCTCCAAGTTTTTGCCAAGCCTGGGTTGTGTCAGCTCAGCACTGGCTGTAAAGGGTAAACCTGGTTTGTCATCAGCGTGTAGTTGCCACAGCAATAAAGCAGCAGGTACGCACTTGGGGGCTTTTCGTGTGGCAGTGAACTGTGCTCTGGGTCATCCGTAGGCTCCTGGGGGCTCCTGGCGGTTGGAGCTTACAATAACTGGGCTTGCGTGACGGAAGCGTCTTTTACGCATTTTGAAACTTGAACTCCCGCTCAAGCCCAGGAGGATATTATGCTGCGGGTCTGCAGCATGGTAAGCTACGGCAAGCCCAACGAGATCAGATTCGGCAGCGCGGGAGCAACGAAGCCTGGCAGGAAGATTCCTTGAAGATGTTGGCTTACGTTGACCTCGCTGTTCTATGTCGGAGTTCCGGCCTGCAGCTGTCTCCACGCATTTCGCGTATTGCAGGGGTTTGAAAAGGTTTCCTTACGGCATCATCCAGTCAAGGATAATAGGTGCAAGCTGTGAGGCACACTATCTGGGCCTACGTGCACAGCGGAGACTGGGATGTCTGGGGCGCCATGACCTCCCCAGGCACTGCATTGCTTCGGAGTGGAGGAGAGTGTGATAGCGGCAACTTGCGGGTAGCAGCACAGCAGGTCGTTTTCTTTGCGTGTTCGCTGTGGTGCATTGCCCGAAGCTTTTTGCCTCCAGCATCGGACGTGCAGGCACTGGCGGCAAGTGGATCGCAGATCCACCAATCCCGGCAGGATCCATTTCTCCGTGCTAAGTTTTTGGACGCCGTGTGCAATATTTATGTCCTGCAAGGTCAGGCACAGAATTTATTGGCAGCATCTCAGAAGGGCCAGATGGCTGGAGCAAAAGACGTATCGGCATGACAATCGAGACCTGTGCATCCTCACACAGACCCCAGGCCCCAGGAGGCCGAAAAGTTTGGAGTGGTTGAGGTTTCGATGCTCCTCCAAAAGGACCCCTCGCAGGCAACAGCAAACAAGAGCTTGTTGGCCAAGGGGAAATTTAGTCGAGATCTGCTTGGCAGCCGATGTTTGAAGATGATAGTTGCGTTGTCGGCAAACAAAGACAGCTTGTGCATCCTGAGCATGTCCGAGCAGTTCCAGCTGAGACACTTGCGTCCCTTGCATCGGTGTGACAAGCTAGTCCTAACAAGTCCTCTGCGCCGATGCCGATTGCAGCCAGATGCTGGAATGATGATGTTCACTTGCTCATACGCAGGCGCTTTATGAAATTCATGTCATGTGGCAGCACGGACGCACCAACTTCCGGCAGTTGAGCAACATCAGATGGCCTGAAGACAATCTTCGTAGGGTTATCCAGAGCGTTGAGATGGTAGACGAAACACTTGCTCGATACGCGTGCTGGATCAGCAGTCAGGCGGGACAGAAGAGCCGGAGCTGTATTTCAGCTCAGGGTAGGTGATCGTTCTGTGACGGGTTGGCAGTCTTGCGGAGGCAGCTCTAGCGTCCGGAATGGACCAGAAGTTGTGGGGCACCTACTGAGGATGGGCAGGTGAACTCTTGCAGGGACGGAGCCTGCTTTTGACTGACTTATCTCTGCACACTGAGGACTGCCCTCTCACGACGCACAGCGGCGGAGTTCCGGAAGGACAGTCGGATGTCCCGCAGCGACGCACATGGCAAGCTTTGCCAGCGAAGAGTCCTCCAGGCAGAAGCAGAGCATGCCGATCTGGCGACACGGATCGGTCTTCTGGAGGCTTGCTGCTGCAGGCCTCGGGTCGCATACCCTTGGAGCGGTCACAGCGAACACTGCAAGTAAAGACTCTCACTAGCTACCCTTGCAGCGAGCCTGGGCAACACATTCTGTATGGGTGGTGGCTGCTACACTGCGACATGCTGCCACGTAGCTACTACTTCTGAACTTTCATGCATCCCAGACACCTGATGCCTTGTGAAGCAGGGCTGGGCTGATGAGCTCGGAGTCCACTCCCGAGGGATGTTTGTGTGGCAGGTAGCCGGCGCTATTCCTTCCTTCGCTTTTGCATCTTCAGAGATCACCTGGCGCTGAGGGTGGACGTTTCATGTTCCAAGCCGGTGGCAGGCAGCATCTGAAGCTGGCACCGCAGTATAACTTGTCAAGAACTGGTGACTAGTGACTAGTGACTATGAGAGTTCGGAAGCACTGGTGCATTGCCTACGTGTCACAGTTAAGAGACCTCAGAAGCGGAAGGCACACGCCATCTCTCTTCGGATTCTCCAGCTTGCATGATCATTGGCAGAGCTGCCGATTCTCCAGCTTTCATGATCTTTGGGACGGAGCTTCTCGTGTTTTTGTGCTGTCCGTGGTAATCTTACTTGCTACGGCGACGAGGTGACGAAGCCCCGGGTAGGCACATCGCTGAGCTTGTGCCTGAGATGTCCGGCAGTCCAAATAAACTGCCGCAGAATGCATGGAACGTCTTAGAGCTTCTGCTCCTGCGCGCACCCCTCACTGATCAACCAAGGCCGCTCGAGCAGCAATGCCGCGGACTCGTAGAGGCCAGCAGGATAGCGACAATGCTGTATTCTGCGGTTATTCTTCGGTACCGGGTGTGGGCTACGACAACGGACTGAGCAAGCCGTCGGAGTGTGTGCCCTTGCTCGGAAGCACGTGGCCGCAGCAATTGAGATTTAAGGCTCCAGGTTGAGGCTTTCAAATTTATTCATCCATGCCGGTGCAAGAACTGAAGGGCATTCGCGTTCCATGCCTTGAGGTTTCCTTCCCAACTTTTGAAAAGTGCCTGCGGTGGGGCGCCATGGCAGAGCAAGCGCGTTGCAGCCATGGATGCGCTCTCCTCGCACAATTTTGGGGTGCCACGACCTTATCCATGTTTTTTGTTTGCCGATGTGATGAGGTCTAAAATCGCTTAGAGGGTGCCTCCGGTGCAGGCGTGGGCCTTTGGGTGTACATCTTTGTGGACTGCATAGCAGTGGAGCTGGGGCGCGGTCTGCAGCCGTTCAAGCGGATGGACCTGACTGGCTTGCAGTGGGCTGGCTATGCCCGCAGCCTCAGTTATGGAGGTCTAGGCATTCAATTCTGTCGTCTGGGCAGTTGTGAAAACGACGGTGCTTGTCAACTGAATTCCTGCATCCGCCCCTGTGCTTTTGCCCTCCCGATCTTCAGATTCGCTTGGCAGTGTCTGACAGAATGGATCTAGAGATGCCTTGCGTTCCGTTAACTATCTGAGGCAGCAATCGCGATTTCCCTTTGGCTGGTGGAAGGTGTGCGAGCATTTCAGATGAGCTTCTCCCCCATGCTTGTCCGAAGGGCACGTGAGCTTCGAGAAGACTCTCCAACGTGGGAGAAAATCTTGGCACCATTTTTCGTGGCCGGACTAGTTTCAGCCACGCCCGGCAGGTTAGTCAAAAGCTGGCTGCTGATTCTGATCCTTATCCCCGGTCTGGCACTGTCTGTTCCACACCTGCCTTATCCGTGGCGCGAGGCAGTAGATGCAGGAGTCGTCTTGGGACTGGGCTGGGGTACGGCGGCTGTGGCATACTTTTGGCTGCGGGGATGGTTCGGCTCCAGCTGGCCTACGATCAGTGCAGACCTGCCAGCACATCGGATCAAGCCGATCGCAGAGGCCAACCGAGCACCCCTCGCTGGGGGCGCGGTCTAGAGGGCTTGCAGCTCTGATGCAACAGGGAACTTCTGAGCAGGCACATTTTCCGAGTGGCTTCTTGGGCACTCCAGGCTCCATGTCCGCCTGTCTCAGCAGGTTCGTACAGCTCAACCGTCTGAATGTCAGTGTGCAACCTGTAGATTTGTAATGGCCATGACCCAACAAACTGGCAGGAAGTACCAGCTCAATCGCTTTCGCAGCATTTTCAGTGCCATCCTACCGTGCCAAGACAAAACCAGTCAGGTCGTGGTCTCTTGTGCCGTGCTTCGGTGACAGGAATTGCACAAGAGAGAAAAAGCCTGCGTCCTCCGGAACTGTCGTGTTTGTTGCAGCTCCGGAACAGGCAGAATTCGTTCTGAAATGTTGCTTAAACGTTTCATGACTTGATTCTCGTTCCCGCCATCTGGCCGCAGGCGCCGAATGCATACATACACGCGCGCGCACAGGCTCACGCACACGCTCACCCACACCCACATGCACACGCACGCGGGCGCACACAGACAGACACACTTTGCCATACACGCACACATACATACATGGATGCATGAATGCATACATAATACATGCATGCATACCCCCCCCCACACACACACACACACACGCACTCTGTCTCTCTCTCTCTCTCTCTCGTCCTCTTTTTATCTCTCTCTCTCTCTCTCTGTCTCTGTCTTGCCAGGACATGCTAGGGCGAGAGCTGCGCAACCTCGAACATATTGCTGCCCAGCTGCAAACGAGAAGAGTTTTGTCATACTTTCCCGACGGGAGTCTTAACATTGCAAGGACGTGGCAAGGAGGGCGAATGGGGTTGAGATGCGTTGCTAGAGGAGCTTGGCTTTCAATAGAGACATGTTGAGGCAAAGAGACATTCAGAGATGGAGGCCGACATGGAGCGAATTTGCCAGGACTGCTTGCAGCCCAACCATTCATCGTTGTACAGCCCCTGTACACCGTGAGACAATAGCAAAAGCTGGGCTTGCACTGCACCAGGACTTCCAGAATAAGCTGGGCGCAAGCTGCTGCCAAGAGGCTGCATGAATCTTCCAATGCTGTTAGGATCAGGGAGTGCGAATTGCAAGTTACTGTTCAGCAGGGATATTACAACCCTGCGGGAAATGACAGCTTGATGGGTGCTTCTTTGCAGCTTGAAGTCGAAGCCGAAGGACACCGAAGGACACGAGGCAGGTTTCCCTTTAGAACGTTCCTTTATCGCGCTGCGAGGTGCAGCGGCTTGGGGCTCAGGCCAGAGCGAGGAGTGAACTGACGAGAGCTCCCTGGAGTGTTGCTGAAGCTTCGTGTATTTCTCATCGATGCAAGCCAAGCACAGTGCCGCTATAGAAGCCATTCCGTGCAGAGATGCGGCTGCACACAGCTACTCACTGACTTGCGCCGACCCTCTGCACGACAACTCCTGGCTCGCCAAACGGGTTCTAGTTTCGAAAGCGGGAATGCCCGCTGCCCAGGTTGTGTGAGGAGGTCCGCGGAGAGACCAGCCCCCACCTCGGCAGCGCCGTGGTACGGGGAGTCAGAGAGGCTTCGAAGTTCGGGCATGGCGCCTAGTAGGCCACCTGCAGGCCTAGCATAGTAGGCCTAGCAGCTCAGCGATAGCCCAGAAGCTACTTGTCGTCGTGAATTATTTTGGCTCAGCGAAAGGAAGTAGGTCGGGAACCTTCACCCCACGCAGAGGCGCAGATATTTCCACTGACGCGACTTGTTTGTGCAAAATCTGTGCCCCGCAGGATGGCTGATCCAAGCTTACTCTCCTCTGGAGCGGGGTAGGGGCTCGTGAGAGTCTTGTGACGTTCTCAAAAATCGGGTTTATGGTCATATAAGAGAGGCTGCACTGGATGCATGGAAGCAGTCTTGCAAACATACTGTTGGGAGCGTTCGTGCAAAGCAGGAGCCGGCACGGCATCAACTGCCAGTGTCTGGAAGCTTAGAGTGGCGAGCTGTGCGAGTACCAGCCGGTAAGTGTGCGTCTCGCAGCTGTACATCGGATCTCTACATATTGATTGCAGCCCAAACTGCAGCAGCTCGTCAATCACTTCTCTTTCGTCTCGTCTGAGGCGGCAGGCAGCGCGGGCTGCGAACGCAGCTCGAACGAACAACGCTCCGTCTCCGACTCAAAGGAAGTGCAGTGCAGCTTTCCGAGATGGTTTCGTACCGTGGTAGTGAAGATTAGATCGGGCGCTCTGCCTTATCAAGTCAACGACAAGCTGCAGCTTTGTAGCAGCTTAGTTACTGCGGCGGCATGGGGACATGCATCATTGGGAAACGGGCCCATGCACTCATAGATTACACTTACGAGGGGAATCTGAGGGGAGGGCCGTGGAAAGCAACTGTGCCAAGGCCTTTGCAGCCCATGCAGGTGGAGACAGGCCCGTCTCCTGCAGGTAGATCGGCATCGCACAGCGGTTGAACGGCAGGGCCCGCCCCGGTCCAAACTGGCATCAGTGTCAACGATGCCATGTTTGTCAACGTCTCAGCCTGAGCAGGGGTCGCTCTCGCTCTCTTGCTCTCTCGCTCTCTCGCGCTCTCTCTCTCTGGGCTGGGCAGGACGGTGACTCGCCGAAGAAGATTCAGTCGTCCATGTTCACGGGAGATGAGGCTTGCAAACAGGGTTCCACTGGAAGCTGAAGTGAATAAATCGTTCCCTTCTCCCAGGGGCAGAGGAAAGGTCATGGTCGTGGGCAACGCAACCAGCGGAAGAATCAGCCAAGCCTCAAGCTTGCCCCGTTTTCGTGAGCAGCACGCTCCTTACTGGCTATACTGCCAGTCATCCACCTAGGACACCACATGCGCAGTCCCCACCGGCCGCTGGATGGGCTCCGCCACCTCATCAGGCGTCGCAGCGGCGGGGCTTTGGGGGGACAGCCTGCAATGCACTGCACCGCTGGAGGCACTTCCGCCAGATCTCGGAGCGCTGCTTGGATGCATGGGCGGAACACGGCACTTTTCGACTTGAAGCCGAGAGCGGGCGAATGTCACTTGCTGCGCTCAGGTTTGGGGGGTATCCCAACCCCTACGCAGGAATGCCGCTTCCCTACACGCCTGGTCCCCCGCCCCCAGCTGGCTACAATGCATACATTCCGTCTCGACCTTAGAAGACTCCATCGGCACAGAAGAGGCATCTCCCAAAGTCGAGCTTGTTTCTAAGGTACCCACCCCAGCCCTATGCCATGATGCCGCCTCCCAACATGTACCCAGGCTCGCTGGACCGTGTCTTACGTACTTCGCTGTCCTTTCTTGAAACAGGGATGCCTGCTATGCCGATGTTTCCTGGAATGCCTCCTGTGCCTTCGATGCCTGAGCGCCTTGGTTGGCACGACTGCGGGGATCTCTTCAGACATTCTTAGCCTGGCTCAGCTTCTTTGAGCTTACTGGAATCGCAAGACTATGACTATGCAAAGATTTAGGAAAGGACGGATTGAGGAACATCGCAAAGCAGTTGCAGCCAGCTTCAGCAGCTGAACCAAGCGTCTTGCTGCTCCGCTGAGGCAGACTCCTCAATCATCGAAGAATGTCGGGAGCCTTGCGGTTCAGATGCTCAGAGTTCTCACCTCCGAGAGCACGGCTCGAGGCGAAGTCTCGCAACAACAAGCCCGAGGCTGCCGGAGGAGGAATCACGGGCCCGCTTGAGCCTTGAACCGCTGGTGCCTCTTCGCGCCGCGTTTGCGAGGAGGAAAGAACCAACGGGAGCCGAAAGGCAAGAGGCGGACTAAGGCAGCCGTTGTGATCTGTGCTTGCTGTAGGGTTTGACAGATCAAGCTCGAGGATCCCAGAAACAATCCATGAGACTACATAGTAGAGGTCCTGGCCAATGAGCTGCGTGTGACAATGCGGGTCATGCTGTAGAAAGTGAAAGGCGGAAGGAAGCGCTCCACTTGTACAGCTCCCATGAGCGAATAGCGAACCGGGATACTGACTCGCAGCATCTTGTGCGCAGGGCAAGAACTCCAAGGACTGTGGTCGTCGGTGAAGGGCATGGGTGAATTGTGCACGGAGCCGTAGGAAGCTGTGGCCAAGCCCATGCTGGGCTGAGAGAAGCCATGCAGCCTGGAGTGCAGCAGCAAGAATCTGTGCGAAATTCGGCTGTATTCGCACTAGTGGCCGCTAGTAACGCTGGTACTGTGCCTTGCCTTTGCCGCAGGATGAGCCAAGTGCTGCAATCGAAGACGACGCGAATCTCAGCCTTCTGCTGAACCAGGCGGAACAAGCACCGCTTCACAAATCGTCATGCTCTGCTCGTCTCGTAGTTGGCCCGTTGGCCAGTGCATCCCAGCTCAGACATCCTTTGGTTGTCTGATCACACGTTGGTCTGCTCCCCTGTGTCAGTCTCTTCCCTCTAGCTCTCGTGGTTCTGGTTCGACCCGAACCCCTTCTTTGATTTGCCCACGCCCTCACTGACTTCTCGCTTCGACAAGTGTAAAACATGCTTGTGCAAGGTTCGGCGAAGACAGCGTGACGTCTCCCTCGAAGAGGTGTTGAGCGAGAAATTGGTCGTCGAGTTCGCGAAGGACTGACTGTTTGTCCAGCTCCCCAGCTCAATTTGCTGTCCTCTGTCTGGCAGGATCAGCACGGCAGTCGGTTCCTCCAGACAAAGTTGGATGAGGCGGTATCTGGATTTTGCCATGCTTGAAGCTGTTGGAGAAAGCCTTTGACATATCAACCACTCCGCACAGAAAGACAAGCTCTCCGGGTGCTTGTGCCCGGAAGGCACCCGACGATGTCAAGCGGATGGTCTACGCGGTCCGCCGGGCATGTTTCAAAGAGTGTGCACAAGAAGAGACAGTGTGACTGCTTGCCTAAACACGAGATTTTGTTCGTCTTCCTTCACTCTCCCACTTGTGATCGGGATTCTCATGTGCATCGTTGTTTGAGCTTGAATCACAGAACCAGTGGACAGGCGATCCAGGAAGACGCTGCGGAGCTGTCGAAGGAAGTTTTCGCTAATCATGTGGCAGGGGTCCTCAGTGAGTTCGTAACCTCGCTTTAGGAGTAGGACTTAGGATATTCCTGAATCCTGGTAGTGCAATTTGGTCCCTCCTGTGTGTGTTCCAAGCTTTTTGCAAGCTTCATCGTTAGCTCGCCCCCATCTGCTCAGGGTCAGCACGCCATCTTAACATCAAGCCATGGCATCGTAGCATCAAGTCATCTTTGCACCGCATCATATCACGTCACGCCGCTTCACAACCCAGGAGCCCTCTTCGCCTCGTGACATCATCTCATACCACGTAACAACCTAGCAGGGCGTGGCACATCGTGTAACATCGCTGGTCCTCACAGCATCTTCATCAGGCTGTAGACATCATCATCATCATCATCATCATCATCATCAACATCGTAGTCATCGTCATCATCATCATCATCATCATCATCACCATCATCATCATCATCATCACCACCATCATCACCACCATCATCATCATCATCATCATCATCATCATCATCATCATACATCATCATACATCATCATACATCATCATACATCATCGTACATCATCATCATCATCACCATCATCATCACCATCATCACCATCATCACCATCGTCATCATCATCATCATCATCATCATCGTATCATCAGCAATCAGCATCACCATCGGCATCGGCATCGGCATCGTCATGGTCGTCGTCCTCGTCCTGGTCCTCCTCCTCATCATCATCGTCATCACCCACGATCAGCAGTAGTAATAGTAACGTTAGCATACCGTGAAGACAAGTATACAAAGTGTAGCCATGTCGCTTGGAGAGTGCAGACCTGACACCTTTCAGCAGGCTGGAAGGAACTCCGAATAGCTTGAAGCCAGCCGGTTGAACACATCGCACAAAAGCACCTGCCTGCTGGAGAAACGGATGTTGTGGTTCCACAGCCAAAGAGCCTGTGCACTGGATTGATTGTTCGTACTGCTGCAGGTCCAGAAGATCTTTGACACGGCAGACACGGAGCACTCCACTCGGTGTTTCAATCGGTTGCAGGATGTTGGAGGTGAGCCTACGTTTGCTGAATCTGTTGCGTGACGAAGAGGGAACTAGCCCAAATTTGACCAGATTCGATCCTCCGATATCCATGCTTCATGCCCGTCGTCGCTGAGGCAGAAGAAGGCTGGAGCTTGCAGAACGCCTGTGAGAGCCGACTCGGTTTGGACGATTCCGAGTGTTGACAGTGACTGCAACAGGCATAGGCCAGTCGGATCTCTTCGGCAGGCCTTGGTGCGAGCGCTGGCGGATAATGTCGCAGCGCTGTCACAAGACCAGTATGGCTGCCGTGTCATCCAGAAGGCACCCCGGAAGAACGAAGAGTTCCACAGAGCCTTTTGGGGGATGTCCAAGAGTATCCTCCACGCCCGAACTGGCTCAGGCGATCCAAGCGGTCTCCAAAGAGTCCCAGCAGCAGATTGCGCGGGAGTTGGAGGATCACGTGGAGTCCTGCATCAGGACAGCTAGCCAGAAGCAAACGCTCTGGAGCAGCGACCATTTCAGACTTTGGGAATGTCAGGGTCTTTTGCTTTTGTCCAGGCTGAACTAGGGTAAGATGCCGTCGGTGCAGGTCATTTTAGAAGATCTGGTTCTGGGCTCGGGGTCTTCCAGCGATAGCAAGAGCCTGAATAGTACCAGTTACAGTAAAATTAATACTCATAGCAGTAGCAATACTCCTCGCAATACCAATGGAAATCCTTTTCGAAGATGATTCTTCTAAGACAGCCAAATAGTTGAAGAGACGAAGCTCAGACCTCAAAATTTGCACGAAGCTGGACTTTCAAGCCATGCTTGCAGGAACATGCATGGAAATCACGCACCTTGGCAGGAAGTGTGGGATGGTGTCCAAACGTGCTTTGCTGTTGATTTCTACCTCCATGAGCCGGAAACTTCCGCAGCCCGTAGCAGAAGCCTGTCCCGAACCGTTAAGTAGTTTTCGATCCTACTGGACGGAAAGTAAAGATTCAGAGCTTTCTGGAGTGTCGATGCTAAGTGACTCTTCAAAGGTCATGCCACAAGAGCTACGAGGCATTTGCATTGTGATGAGGTGATCCAGAAATGCATCGAGCAGATGCCACCGGACTCCGTTAACTTCGTCATCAAAGCGGTACCGGCCCAAGGATTGACTATCACCACAGTCGCAGTCTGCGCTGGTGAGACATTCTGGCTGTTCATTCTTCGGGTCAGGTGGAGCAGAAGGCAGAAGAGACGGCACGGCATGTGTCCCACCCTCAGCCTTGATCATGAGAAACCTGCTCCGCTTCCGCCTGGCTGAGTACTTCTCAATTCCTTCACTAGGCCTTTGCCTTTGTGCCTTCTGACCGAGGTACGGTTGTCGTGTGATTCAGCGGCTTCTCGAACACTGCGTATCAGCACAGCTGGAACCAATGCAGCTCGCAACAAATATGAATACATGCATTTGGAGCCTGGGATTACCAACGGTAATTCAATGCAATTGCTGGAATTGCTACTGTGGACGTGCTCGCTTTGTCGAATTCCCAGAAGGTAGAGTCCTTTCGTTCAGCCCCGCATCCGCACCTAGTGGTACAGATTCAGACGCACTGTTGGCCTATGTTGCCATGATCGCCGTCAGATGGTGTGATCATGCAGGGTTCGTTACGTAGAAAGCCAAGAATACCTTACTAACCACGCTGCAAAGCATCATAGTGTCTAGGGCGCAGAACATCGCCCTACTCCCGTGAACAATCTCGCCCAAACGCATTGTGTTCGGGGCTAGAAGTTTCGCGGTATCCTTGCTTCCTGACTTCGCTGCCTGCAGCCCAGGTTGGAGAAAATCCTCGTGAATGTGGCTGTGCTGGCAAAGGACGCTTATGGCAATTATGCTTTGCGCTCAGCCAGTTTGACAGAGGAGACGTCTTCCAACGTGCAACCTCCCAAGCGCAGAGTGCAGGTTGTGCAGCACATGCTGGAGCACGGCCGCAAGGAAGACAAGAAACGAATCTTGGTCTGCGCGAAAACGTGGGGATCGGAAGGGACCGGAGGCTTCGCCGGCAGATTCAGGCTGAGGGCACAGTGTTTCTTGAGCAGGTCTTGTGGGCACCTCGGGATGGGTTGTTGGTTCTGGCAAGGACCCTGCTTGCGATTGAGGCTTACCCCTCAACCAATGCAGTCTTCTGAGCTCCACAGGGTGCCAGTTGTGAACTTGAGGTGGAGGGGGCTATTTCGGAGCGAGCTAAGAAGCCGGGACGGCGCGGCTCCACTCTGCCCCCCCCCCCCCCTTGCTCACTCACTCGCTAACTAACTGAGGACGTACTGCATTTGCAGATTGTGTCGGTGTTGCAGTGGTGCATAGGACCTGCATCGCCTGGGCTCTTTCTGACGTCAGACTCGTGGTTAAGCTCCCGTGTGTGTGGACTGACCTTCACATCGACTTTCGATCTAGAAGTTCACGTCCGTCCATGATGCCTGCTCATAACCTGTGAGCATGAAGTGCCAAGGAATTATTGAGACGATCCGGGCAAACATTGCTGAATTCTCGAAGGAAAAGTTCTCCAGCAATGCGGCTTGGCCTTTTGAGAGGCTGAATTCTTTATGCGGATGGCTTCCGTGCCAAGGTGGTCGAGAAGTGCTTCGAGGCGGCGACTGTGGGTGAGAATGCGGACGACCCACTGATCCAGCAGGAGCTGGGCAGTTCAACAGCCTCCCACGAAACCTCCCTGGCCATCTCGCAGGAGCGCAACTTGCTGATGCGAATGGTGCTGGAGAGGCCGCAGTGCTCATTGTCTGCCGGGTTTCGAAGCAGACTGGAGACTCTGGATAATGAAGCTCACTCACGGCCTGTGCCGGTTGGTATTTTTTTGGGTTCTCAGGCCAGAGGTCATCTACGCCATGTGCACCAACACCTACGGCAACTACGTTGCCTGCCCGACATGTTGCATGACAGGAAGCGACAGTGATGTCTTGTTTAGGTGGATGCACAATGCGGTAGTGCCTGAAGCTGGCTCAGCAAGCACTGCTTGTAGCTTCATTTCTTAATATGTAGTTAATATCTTCGAGAGGAAATGACACCGGATGAGCCTGAGACAGCGGATCAGACACATTTTGTGGCTTCACAGGTGGAGCTTGCAGCCTGCAGCCATGGCTTTCAAGGTGCGGCTCCTCTTGGGCGCTCGGCGGCTGGTGCTGCAACCGCCGCGGTTTTCCAAGGGCGCATCCACGGTAGCGAGCGCACCGAAGGCCCCCAGCTCGGGCTCGGGTATGGCTGCGTACATCCTGCGGACGGGTCTGCGAGGCATGCGAGGTGCGTGTGCCCAGGCAGCTCACAGTAAAGACCAGTGGTGCGTGGTTTCGTTGCACGTTGAAGCGCCTTTTTCCCCTGTAGTGGATTTGAGGCACCGTCGCCGGTGGCGTCGGCTTGACAGTCTTCGGGCTCGTCATCTGCCCCTACGTCAGTTCACGCTCACCAATTGGACACGAAGAGCGAGCTTCACTGGAGCAGGACTTGCTCGGGCACCGTGGCAACATTCAGCAGCAGCACTGGTCGTTGTCGTGTTCGTGTTGGTTCAGATTTTGGTGGTGGATGAGAACACTAGCATTCGGAGGCGGAGAAGGTGCAGACGAAATATCAGCGGTAGTAAATAGCACACGAAGAATTAGTACTAGGGAAGGCAGCAGTATTCGCCGCAGCATAGTAGTGGTGCTAGTCGCTGTAGTAGCAGTGATATCAGAAGTGGTGGTGAGGAGGTTGTGGTGGTGGTGGGGGTGGTGGTGGCGATGGCGAGGGCGGTGTAGCGGCAAGTGACCACCAGCAACTGTCGTATTGGCGGTACTTGTTAGATCAGCGGTAGTAGTGCGACTAGCATGCATTCGTGGCAGTACCAGGAATACAGCAATATTTGTCAAGATCTAATGGGGAATGGACTATCATGCATATGAGCGTGACATGCTAGCAATGACAGATGTTTGCTGGTGCTGGTGGTTATCTCGGCAGTACTCCACGACCATGGAACCCTCATTCAAGCACCCGGCAAGGCCTCCATGAACGCCTGTCCGGGATCTGTTACTCTCAGGCTCTCAGTAGTTGGGCTTGTGGGTCCGAAATTGAGGGGCGGGCCCAGGATTGTGGCCTTCGACTCGTCTCGCGAGCTGCTGACCGCTTCAGAGCTCTTGGCAGCTGTGCGTGAGATGCGAATGCCTCCGGTCCGGAAGTTCAAAGCTTTGGGGGACTTGAGGGCACTAGGAGGTCTCGCATACTCGCGGCCTCCGTGTCGGTGTCAAAAACGTAGCATGTTGGCTAGCTTTTCTTCTCCCCTCCTCCACATCCGCCTTCCCTTCCCTTCCCTTCCCTTCGCTTCCCTCGTCGAAAGTTTCAAGAAGGCTCTTGCAATGTAGCCTCTATGTCCCTACGCTCTTGGAGGTGTCCTTCCACGACTTGCAGCGACCCTCGTTCTTCCGCCTTTTCGAATGGGTCGGACGCTTCACCTTTGCATGCTATTCCGATGCCTCTGGTGTAATGACGCTTGACGAGTTCAAGTGCGCCGTCCACAAAATGATCGATGCTCGGAGACATTGGGTCATGCAAACGGCCCTTTGCTTTGTACTAGTCGGATACCGAGGATCTGGTCTTGGAGGCACACAGCCTCTCGCAAGGAAAGGCTGCTGCTCCTGCTGAAGCACGCGCCCAAGCAGTGCGCGAGCTCACCAAGCACGTGGTCCCAGCCGTCTTCCGAGTTCTGGACTTTGATCAGAACGGAAGTATTGGCGCCTTCGAGTTTATCCGCGGAGCGCTGCTCTTGCTGGCAACCGTGCAGGGTGCTCCGTTGGATACGCCGCAGTTGGCGGACTTGGCCTTCCGAGTTGTTGACGCAGATGCGGATGGTTTGGTTACCAGCGCTGAGCTGCTTCGATGGGTCACGCTGGCCTTGGAGCATGGCGTGACTTCTGCAGACGTGCTTCGTGAGCCTCGGGGTCCTTTCGGGTGGTTTGGAACCCGCATACTGACGCCAGCACAACTTGCAAAAAGATGGCTCGCGGAGGCTGACTTCGATCGTGATGGAAAGCTCCTTCCGCAGGCACTTGGGAAGAAAGGGGTTTGTAGACTCATAGACTGAATCCTAATTCAGAATGCAATTCCGCGGATGGGGAAGGGCTTTCTGATGCTGTTGCCCCCAGGAGTTCGCAGTCCTTGCTCCGCGACTTCGAATCCATCAGACGATTGGCAGGATGGCCGGTCAGTATGCGGAGAATCGCTTGCCTGCATCAGCCTAGCACAGCCTGCAGCTCTGATGTGGCTGTCTACCAAGAGGCTAGGCTGGCCATTTTAATCTTAGCTGTTCCCGACTGCGAAGTGTTTCTGCGCAGCTTGAAAATGTGATCCGAAATCTCAAGTGAGCAAACGGAACAACAGCATTGGCCAGGTCCAGAAGATGCTGGAAAACACTCGTGGGGAAGAGTGGCCTGCCCTCTGCCAGGCGGAATTCCATACACCTCTCTGTTCAAGATAGCCCCTCGTTCCATTGCATCTCGAAGCATGATGTATGTCCTCATAGGCAATTCGGAACGTGGAGAACCAGTTGAATTCTACGCTTGGAGCTCAACATGCGGATGTTGCCTGCAAGCTAAAGTGTATAGCTTGTGTTCTAGATGATGGCGCTCTTCCCCGTTGCACCGATAAGACACCGACTGTGCAACCCCATGGCCTTGGCCTGCAGGGGGGGTGCCCCCGGTGGCAGAGAGGCTTGGCAAGTCCACGATGTGTGACTTTTTGTTGCCGGGGGAGCGCATGTTCAACACGACATACGCAGGACCCCAGAGAGGTGTTCAAGCACATCCTGACTCATTTGAATAAGGACGACACCGTGGGCAGAAAATCCACGCAGCATGTGCCAAACAGGGCGCATTCGGCTGCTCTGCTTCTCACCTGTCGCAGCCTCTGTGTCATTTGCAAGGAGACAGGGGCGCAGCAGTGACGTCAGACGTGGCACGGCACCTATATCTTGACTCTCGACCCCACCCGATGTGCAATTTCCGGCTGTTTAGGGCTTGGCATGGCAGTGTCTTGTTCACAGCCTGGGTCGGCTGTGAGTGCTGTAACGGAGGTTGTCAAATCTCTGGATCAGCAACAAAAGGCGCGGATGACCCAAGCCCTGACCCTGGCCTTCGCTTCGAGCAGTTGATCCCCAGGCAGCCTTCGCTGCGCAATCTTGTTTCGCCGGGGCCCCAGCTCTCGCTGGTCCCCAAGAGTTCCCAGCCATGGCCGCGAGCTGCTCAGGTGTTCGCACTGGGTTTGCCTGCTGGTGTACAGACCTTACAGAGAGAGGCAGGTCTGGGTCTGGTACTCGCAACCCTCTTGATCTTTCGATTTGAGTTGCAGGTGGGCATTTCGGCAAAGGGGCAGCTATCAGAGATTTTGTGCTGCTCGGCGAAGTAATGCTCGGCCATGTGCTCCTGTGCACATTCGAGTGGAAGCGGCCAAGTTGTGCAAGAATGTGCAAATCATGGTGGTGGTTGTATCATTATGGAATTATCATGGAATTATGATGAACCATGGAGAGATGCGGACCGATGAGGGCAAGAAGAACGGAGACTCTGAGGTATGCAGGCCAGATGCCTCTCCGGAATGGAGCCCAGCGGACCAGTGCCATTCACGTCTCCATCTCTCAGTGTCTCGTACAGACTCAAACACTAGCCAGGCCAGCCGGGGGGGCGCCTCAAAATCTTATAAGTCATTATCTTTTGCCGCTGTTTTTGGATTTTTGTGTGTTTTGGGGAACAGCCATAGTGGAGTCACGGGCGAGTGCCTTCCCCGAGCACCTGTAAACAGGGCCGCTGTACCATTTCTAACTTGTATATGAGCAGGGAGCTGCTTTAGATGCTGCGCCGGGCAATAGCCTACGGCTGGCTGTGCTTGTGAAATAGCCCTGTGAAGTTCGCACGCCAGCTTACCTGGCACGCCCCACTTCTGATGCTCGCGTAGCTGTTGCTGTAGAGATTTGCGATGCAAGTTGGCATGTTGAAGCCGCCAAGCTGAACAGATAGATGGACACATCAAACAACACTGTTTGCGAAGAAAAGACACGCTTTGGGACTTCAGACAGATGTCTGCAGTTGCCTCACCGCTGAGCCGCAGTTTAGTTTGTGTGGTCGGCTGTGGTCGAGATGTCATGCCAGTTTATTGCTCTCCTTGCTTTGTTGGTTTATCAGTATTGTCATTAATATTTTTATTGTCGTGACAAACACAGCTTGCGA